CCTCCTCTTTATAGACTGGACACTGGTTCAAGTCCATCTGGTGGAGTCTCATCGGCCTCCTTGATCAAGGAGACAGGTGGCCCACCACCATTATAGGACATTTTGAGAGATGCTCATAGTCCCCTGGAACTAGTTGACCTAGGAGGGCAAGGAGCAAAAAGTGTCCTTTATGTCCTTCTGACCTCAAAGTATGTCTGATTAAACACCCAAGAAGGTTAGATCCACCAGTCTTGTATTTTTAATTACTGAGAATACACATCCTTTTTGATGTCATAAAAAATATTCTGAGTTTGTGATCTTAGTGAATTTTTCTAAATAATTATTTTTTAATCTTTTATTTATTATTTTTATTTTATGTGTATGAGTGTATTGCCTACATGTACATAAGTGTACCTGTGTCATGCAATGCCCAAGGAGGTCAGAACAGGGTGTTGAATCCCCTGGAACTGGAGTTGCAGATGGTTTTTAGTTGCCTTGTGGGTGCTGGGAGCCAAACCCGGGTCCCCTATAAGAGCAGCTAATATTCTTAACTGCTGAGCCATCCCTCCAGCCCCTCTAAATATTATTTACTTAAGAGAAATGGATGATATATCACATAACAACTGATAAATACACAAAACCCAAATGAAGCTATTTACATCAGCTTCACTTGATACATTCAAAACAGCTTTTGCAATTTCCTTTTCTTTCTTTAATAACTCCAAAGTGTTCTTAGTTCTGGGTAACTGTTCACTAATGCATGTTTCTCTCTTTTAAACTTTTCACTAATTCACATGTTTTAGTGTTAGATGTAGTAAAGGTCAGGGTTTTTTGGCTACAAGAAAAATAAAATTTCCTTGGCAAAATCTTCTTCTTCAGGACACTGGCAGGCAGAGGAAGGAAGGCCTTGATTCCAAAGGCATAGTCACAAAGAAAAGGACTCTTGTTGGTTCACTATTTTACAGATATCCAGAACAAATCATTCATGGTCAGTGAACTAGCAGGTGAGGTGAATGATTGGAAACTCCTTCTAGATACATGAGAAACAAGGAAAAGGGGGTTATCAGGAGGTAATGCATGCAATTACTTGGCATTTCAACAAATAGCACAGATTTAAGGAAAGCAATTAATTAGTTAAGATTCTTGGAACATTTAGTTATGAGTATATTATATTTGCAGTAGTGATCTGTACTTCAAAACTCAGGGTTCAGTTCTTCAGTGAGCCTCAGAGCCCTCTCATAGCACAGCAGGGCCTCATTCACCTCACCTTTCAGTTTGTGGACCAACCCAAGCAGACTAGTGCTTTCTACAACACACACATTCTGATGAACACCTTTTTTAGCCAATTTCTCCAAAGCGTTGAGAAGCTTTCCCCTGACATTGGACATTACTTCAATTTTCAGACCTTTTAAATAATGAGTGATTGCTGTGTCATCTGATAATTGGTGAAACTGTTGGAAACGGCCATAACGGAGGTGAATGTCTTGCTGTATGTGACCGGGAAGGTTCTTTGTGTTCAGTGCTTTCTGAAAGTTTTTCTCTGCTTCTTGGTATTGGCCAAGTTCTGCCTGCATCTCAGCGAGGCAAACATAAGCCATCTCCAATGTGGGCCGTAAACGCAAAGTCTTCTGAAATTCACAAATACCCTGGTGCAGCACTTTCTCAAATTCTTCCTGCCTGTGAGGCTGCTGGTGTGAGGTAGTCTTCATCTGGATCATTTGTTTCTTGTAGCAAAGCCCTATTTGGTAATGCAGGTAGGCAGATGAAGGTGTTGCCTCTAAGGCCCTTTCTAGAAGATGAAGAGCTTTATCTATATAGCCCTTTCTTTGGTAATATTTGGCTGCATAGCGAAAGACATAAGGCTGGGAGGATTCGCTGGTAAGCGCTTCATCAAGGTACGTTTCTGCTTCAGCTGCTTTTCCTAGATCCTGAAGCTTTAAGGCAAGGAGAACTTTAATATAAGCATCTTCTGGATTTAACCTGACGGCCTTCCTTAGGGGTCCTAGAGAAATCTCATTATCATAATCTTCACGGTAGGCTGCGATGGCGTAGCCAGTGCAGAATTCAGGGTTTTCAGGCTCCACTTGCAGAGCCTTTGCAAAGCAGGCCATGGCTGCCTTATAGTTCTGTCCTCCACACTTCACCATGGCCCATCCTTCTTCACAGTCCAACTCTGGACACTCCATCCTATAGCGGAAGGGACTTCCCAGCTCCTTGCATGTGTTCTCCACCTTGTCCAGGTAGGTCTGGGCTTTTTCCAACCTGCCCATGTGGAAATGCACCCAGGCATAGTTGCCCCAGGTCACCAGGCTTCTCTTGTCCCTCTGGTCAGCTCGTTCTCCCTGGATCAAATCTTCAGCTTTTTCTAAGCTCTGCAGGGCTTCCTCATCCTGGCTTTTTAGATGTTTCACGTAGGCCATGAGGTTGTGAATCCCCACGTTGTTCTTGGTGTCTAGAAACTCGATCTCCTCCAGGATTCTGCTTTCCAAATCTGGTATGTCAGTGTCTTCGAATAGCAGCTTCCATGTGAAGTGACATCTCAGCTGAAGCAGACCGTCCTTGACCTGGTGGTAGTCAGCATTCTGCCTGTGAGAGGGAAGTTGATTTATCTGTTATCTCTGGAGTGGCCAGAAAAATGACACCAAATAAAACCTCCTTTAAACAGTAGTGAATACATTCTGACAATCTCATGTTTACTTTTTCCTTAGAGTTCCTGTTTTCTTTTTTTAACATTCTAGCTTCAGCCCCATATACCTGAACAGTCAGAGACTACTTGTATAATTGTGAAAATTGACCATTTCCCCGTGTCATAGTGCCAAAAGATTTTCAACAAATATACATTAGAGCTTTTCCTGAGATTTCAAAGTCTTAGAAATCTATTTCCTACTATTTCTATAGGACAAGTTCTTTCAAATTGTATTCACAGAAGCAGAACTTATCCATGAGTCAAGCACTGAACAGTGAGTAAAATTCATCGCACAGTCTGTTCCTTTCATCTCAGACACGTACAAGGTGAGTGTATGATGTTCTCAGGAACTAGCCAATCTTAGAACAAATGTGCATGCATGCTCCTTTCTTTCTGACCCTGAGGAAGACACTGCTCATGGGCCTCATTTGAATGTTTTCATCAATGGGAAATTAGGGTATAGGGAGGCAGTTTGGGGGTGCCTCAGCCTTGGCCTTCCACTTCCATGTATATAGGGACTCCTTGGAGTTTCAAGATGCTCCTGGACAGTGACTATATTTTGCTCATCTCCCTATAGTGGTTCCAACACTTTTTGGTAATCACTTTGTGCCTCGGAGGCCCATCTGTAAAATGAGAATAACGTCAATATTTATCATACTGGATTTGGGGGAGGGGAACTAATGACTATGTGTTTTAGTAAAGCACACACATTATAAACTCCATGAGACTTTCCTATTTTACTCTTAGTGATGAGAATGAGACAGAGAAAATTGCCAGGTCATATTATGGTAAGGACTCAGAAGGGAAGCAGTAAGCAGTTTGACTCTTGTCCTTCTCTAGAAGGCAAAGCTATCCTTGGTGTTGTTGGCAGTTCTGCCTTTGCCAGATGCAGAGATGCCAGAAATTGTTAAGCCTGAATGCCTTTACCTCTGCCCTGGGCAGATGCCAAGTATGCTGGCTGAGAGTTCTGGTTTGTGATTTCTCTGTAGCCCCAAATGTGGACCCCAGCATGGAAACTATAAATGAAATGGAAAGACCCTGAAAGTCACCTGGACGTGGATCAACCAACTGGACTCAGCAGCTCATCCTTTCTCCCACGCTTCCATCCAATAAATCCTCATTAACCCCCAAATTAGAGATCCTTGTTGGTACCTCATACTGGACCCAGCTCCCACAGTAGAGAAATTCTGCCTTCTTTTTTCCTTAACTTCCCATATATTTCTATAATAAAATCTGTTTCTGAAATTCACCCTTCTGTGGCCTCTGAATTTCAGTCTAGATTTCCTAAAACAAGAACCCAGAACCACTGATCCAATGAAAGATTTGTGCGCATGTGAGCCTTGACAACCTAACGCCTGAGTTAAGCCTACCAGAGGTTAGAAAGCTTTAGTCCAGCTCCAAGACTCCTGCTCTCCACCTCCCCCTTTCATTAATGAGATGGAGGAACTAGTTAGAAATACAGAACTTCAGTAATCATTATTGACTCTAGGAACACAGGGTGCATGGACTAAGAAAGGGAAGACCACTGACATGAAATAGTCTTTGGCATATTTTGCATTTTAAACTTTTACTTAGAGAATGTATAAATTTGCTGAAGGTGGCACAGAAAATGCAGAACCCATCTATCGCCATCACCCAATGTATTTCACTGATTATTACATATAACTAGAAAATAATATCAAATTAGAAAACTAATGTAGGCACAACACTGTGTATACCGCTGTCATTCCCCTCCCTTCCCCCATAGGATCAAACCTCTGGAACTGCCATGTAGAAGACACAGAATTCCATCAGTGCTCCCTCTATTCCATGCTCCCTGACAGACACACCTATAGCTTCAAGTTCCAGGCATTTGTAGCCCTTAATAACTGTGAAATTTTCTATCATTGTAATTTATCATTTCAAGAATATACTGGGGCGGGAGACACAGCTCAGTGTTTCAGATAACTAGCTGCTTTGGGGAGCTTGTTACTCCAGCTCCAGGGGATCAGATTCCCTCTTCTGGCCTGTGAGGGCACTGTAGGACACAGGTACAGTAACAGCCTGCAAACAAAATACTTATAAAATATAAGTAAATAAGTAAGTAAATAACCAAATAAATATTTTTAAAAGAATATACCACAAATGAAAATGTCATGCAAAAAGTAGTTAAATGTATGGAGATCACTATAACAGCATTAGTAGAATGAAGGAGAAAGATACATTTTCACCAATTGGTACAGAAAATCTCTGAAAATGTCTAGGTGGAGACTTTCCATTGTCTCTTCTCTTAAGAGTTAATTTACTCATGAACCCATAGGAGCTGTGGTTGTCTGCACAAGACCTGCACAAAATACCAAGCCAATCAACATTCTATCACGGAATGGGAAGAGGTTCATGAGTCACTTGCCCATACATGAGGTACTCTGGACACTTGATGGCTACTGGGGGAGGGAGAGTCAGTTTTCTTTAATGGTATGGCACCTGGTACAATGACTGTGCTCCAGTGGATGACCCCACACCATGAAGTATATGGTCAGCACAAACTGTTTTCAATAAGTTAGTTTTTAAAAAGAGCCCATGGAGTTGGGGGGAGGTGTAGGGAGGTTGGGGTGTACCTGGGAGGAGTTAGCAAGAGGACTGGGGATGAATATGGTATTAGCTACTTTTCTGTTGCTGTGATAAAAACACTGACCAAAGCAAATTATAGAAGAAAGAGTTTATTTGAGCTCATAGGTCTAAAGGGGTAAGAGTCCATCAAGGAGGGGAGGAATGGCAGCAGGAGGTGGCTGGAACAGAAAGCTAAGCAATCACATCTTTCAAGAAGGCACAGGAAGCAGGGGGAGACAGGACATTCAGCATTGTTTAAGAATGCTTAAAGCCTACCCCTAGTGACATGCTTTCTCCAACAAGGCCACACCTCTTAAAACCTTCCAAAATGGCACCACCAACTGGGAACACAATGTCCAAATTTGCAGCCTAAGGGGGACATTCTCATTCAAACCACCACAGACAGATATAATTGAAACATGTTGTGTGACATACTCAATAAACATATTTTAAAAGGAGAAAAAAGAGCTAGTTCAGTTGGGAAGATCTATGATATGGCTAAGGGACTATCTCTCAAAAACCCATGATGTCAACTTTAGGCATGATAAAGAGATAGGCAAAATAATTAACCCTTTAAAGAGATGATGGGTTTTTTCTTCCCAGAATTTCTTCCCCTTACAGCATTCCCCATGAACTGCCATGATATGCCTTGGGCAAGCCAGGGCCACACAGTGAAGCACTGTCTCAAAAACAAACAAATAAACACAAACAAACACAGAAACCAAAATATCATGCAACAGAATACATTAAAGAGAATTGAAGAAAAGTAAAATGAAATAATTCTAAAAAGTAGTCTCATTTTACCTAGAAACAACCTTTCTTTAATGGACCTGTTCTTCCACAAAGTTGCTTTTCCACATTCCTCTTTTTTTCTATAGCAGTTAAATTTCTGTGTGGGATAAATCATATATATAAATATATATCTATATCTATATATATATGGCTTTAAAAATGTCAAATGCTGAAAGGATAAGTCAAAAGACCTTTTACGTTCCAGAAGTAGTACTGGGAATACAAAAGTTTCATTCTAGGCCCAAATTTGATGTGGATTTTGAGAATTTGACATCTATTCCTCATGGTCACCTGGAAAACCCTTCATTCCACCGAAGGATCCAGCAGCCCTCTATTTTTTTTTTCAATCTTAAAGAGACTCAATTGTCATGCTTCTTCCATCTTTCATGTAGTACTTCAAATTCTGTGGAAAGTGGCTGGAGAGTAGAGAGTAGAGATAGTGACATCATTTAACATATGAAGAAGCCAGGTGGCAGGGAAAGCCTGGAAGCTCTTCCTCAACTGCCCTTCAAGTAATAACAGGACATGCTTTTAAAAAGCTGTTAATTTGGGGAGCTGAGTACTCTGCAAATGGTCTCTTAAGAGTCATGCACCTCATGCCCCTGTCATTTTGTGCTTTTCCCTCAGGGCACTAGTCCACTCCATTGTCAGGAGTGCTTTTTCTTTCTAATAAACTGTCTCTATTCCTGTGTCTCCCCATGTACCCTTGGACTCAAGAACACGGATATGTCAACAGGTACTTTTGGAACATTCCAGCAGTATCTCCAGGATTTAGACCTTTGCCTCTAACATCTGGTGATTCAGCCAGAGAAAGAAGTAAGCACTTTTACTGGAGTCTTGCATGGCACCTCCTGGGAACTCCACTCAGAGTTAGATGCACATGCAGCTGTGCATAAGCACTGGCAGCAGGAGACAGCTGGGCAGCACAGAGACAACAGGGAATTGTAGGGTAGGAACAGAAAAGAGCCAAGACGATACTGCCCATTAGGCGATTCAGGATCCCCAATGCTACTGGTGACCCCCAGACTTTCCAACAGTGTGGACACCCATTTTCACACCCCAGTATTCCTGCTTTCCCAGACAGTACTGGACTGAAGGTGTGGTAGACTCAGAAGCAGCGTGGGCACTGGCACTCTTATAGTCTGATAACTGCTAAGACTTCAGCCACGAGGTAGGAAGGATTTTATTAACAACCAGGCTGTCCCTGCACTCCAGGAGTGAATACAGAGATCAGCCCCAAAGGGAGTCTGCAAGGACTTTTTATACATACTCAGATATTTCTCAAAAGCGGGAACACAAGGGGACCAATCATCATGGTTCAAACTCAAGCACATATTTGCACAGGTCAGTAAAAGTTTAAAATTATTATTGACCCAGAGCAAGCAAGCAAGCATGGATAGAAGCAGATACAGCTTTAGGCAGCAGCTTATCTCATCTCAGTCAGACATGTGGCAGTGTCTAAGAATTCCTGGTCCCTCTAAGGTGTAGGCAGTTTCAGGGAAACTGGAAAGTAACTATGCCAGGTCAAAGTAGGATGGTAAGATGGATGTCTTTTAGTCAGGGCCTGCTACAGCACTAGGAATAGGACTGTCACCTACACGGACCTGGTCCTGCCACCTACTAGTTCACTTGGCTGCACACTTTTCTAAACTATGATTCTTTCCTTGCTGCTTCTGCATAATCCAACTCTCCCAACACCTCCCCACTCAATTACCACAGATGGTCCTATCTTCAAGGACATAAAAGTCATCCCTCCCCAACCCCCATTCTCTGGCAAAAAACTGTTCCCTTGAGCATTAGTTCCAAGCAAAGACCCTGCCCATTTTATACTTTTAATCTGAGAGACAATTTCAAGTACAGAAGTCAAAGCCATTCATATAAGCAATCCTCTTTCTTGTGCCCAATATTTCTTTATATTTCTAGTTCTCTTTTATTTTATTTTATTATTTTATTTTGTTTTTGAGCTTGTTAGGAATGAGGTCTTAAATTCCCAGAGATGCTTTTAGCCAGGTATAGTATGCGAATATTTTTGCGACTTAATCCTGGGAAAGAGACAAATTGTGACTATTGGTTGAACCCCAAGTAGGGATGGGCAAGGCCCAAAGCATCTGGAACACAAATCAGCATTTCAGCCCTTGGGGGGCTTTGCCTGAAATAACCCCAAAACTCTTGGGTGTCAGAAAATGGGAAGAAGGTGGTCTGTTTTAGGGCTCTGAGTACGGGAATGTCGATTTCCACTACAGAAGCTCTGCTGAGTGTCTTTTTCCTTAAGATCTTCATGGAGAATTTGCCCTCAGTCACCTTGTCTACATTCTATGATGCAGCCTTCCAATTACAGTAAGCTTCCTGCCATTCACCTACTCTCATGCCTACAGCATTCCCTAAGGGAAAATGCCTGTACCTAAGGAACAGTTAGAGTTCATATTCTCTTTTCAATCACACACCATGGCAAAGCAAGAAAAATCTAGGAGAGCAAAGGAATGCAACCACACTCAGCAGACCCCATTACAAGGGAACACTGTCTCCTAGATTCACCAAAATTGCAGGGCAGAGAAGTTCTTACCCCATCGTTGCTGTGAATCAGGCAGCAGATCTGTTTCCACCTACACAGGACTCCTCAACGACCTGGTCTGTCTGTCTGTCTGTCTGGAGGACTTTCACACAAACTGACAGCGAAGGGGAGGGCTAGCAAACAGTCCTCTTAGCTGTGGGTGTGTGCTTGCTTGAGAAAGGAGAATCAGAAACCAGAAAGGGAAACTGAAACTGGCTCTGAGAACTTGTAGGAAACACATTGCCTTTTTTCTGTTTTCAGAAGTAGAGAGGAGAAAGAAGGTGGTGAAGAATGTAAATTCCTTCCTCCTGGTCAGAGGGATCCCTAGCACTAAGAGATGCTAATTCTCCTGAGCCTGGAGGCAGGGAGACATGCTCTGTGTTACCTCTTCCTAAGGTGTGATCTGCAGTGGCCCCTGCCACCAGTCACTGTCACATAAACAAAACCCAGGCACTGAATCTTTACCTGTGCTTTATTCAGAGCTCCATGCCATCCTGAAAAAGGCTAATACCAAGCCAGAGAACTGTAGAAAGCAGGCTCAGGCTGGTTTAGGAGAGGTCACACATTTGTCCTTGTCTTAGTTTTCTTTGTTAACTGTCTTTCTTGCTCTAGTGCTGCCTGTTGCTCATGTTCCCACTTGAGCCCTGTTTCCTCAAACACCTTTCATCCTTCAGAATTCAAAATATCGAAAGTCATTCAAAGATACTTAAATGGATATACTTTCTATAAGTTTGGTTTAACAATTCCTCCTCAAATTTTTTCCTCTGAACAGAGAGACAGAGACAGTTCCATACCTCAACCAGTAGACAGCAGCTGTAGAAGCTGTATCTGCTGTTAGATTTAGGAGAGCAGGAACAGGAAGGGGTTTAAAATTAAGAAATAAGAAGCAGAGCCAGACCTGCAGCAGGCAAGGAATATGTTTCTTTATTCAGGAGATCACAGCAAAGGGCCTCTGCCATCTGTGGAAAGAAGCATCAGCCAAAGCAAGGCAGAGCAATCTGGATTTATATAGGAACTCTGCTGAGCTCAGCTGCAGGACTCTGATTGGTGTCAGGTGTCAGGGTCCTAGGGGTACTTGAGAGTCTTCTTCCTGAGGTTATTTTCTCAGGATGAGCAGGCAAGTTATCTTATGGCATCAAAGGAGTTAGGTTGACTCTGGAAACAGTCTCTGTAGTGATCAGTTGATAAGTCTTGAGCAAAAGCCAGGCCATCAGGGCAGGCAAGTTATTTTATGGCACTGCAGGAGTGAATTCAGCCCTGTAAACAGTCTCTGTCTACCCAGGAAGTGACCAGTTGATAAGGCTACAAGAAAGGCCAAGCTGCCAGTCTGGACCATTTGGCAACCTTGAGGAATTTAAGTCCTTATGTCTTCCTTTAAGGAAGTACATGGCTCTCCTGCAATTTACACATTCTATCAGGATCTTTGATCTTATTCCCCCGTTAAGGTTATTAAAAAAAATATTTCATTTATTTTTATTTTATGTGTATGAATGTATTGCCTGCATGTATGTGAGTGCACCT